TAGCATTTTGAATACTACGGAATTATATCCATGATCGACGCCAGACTGAAAGATTATTCTTCAGAAGCAGACTGGAATTTTTTATTCATGTTCCTACTATTTACTCTTCACTTATTTTTAGAACACTATGTTTATGAAAATGCCTCATGCATATATTAAATCAAAGATATGTTTGCAGAAACTCTTTTACTGTAATCTTTTCTTTTTAACATGAAACAGGAATCAGCAAGAGACGATGCCACAGTATATACCAGAATATAATGCAGTGTTATTCAACACATCACCCATTCTATTTGGAAATGAGCTCATCCACATCTCATTTTGTAAAAAATTTGCAATTGGCGCTTATTGCATAAAACTCATTGACTTTCAATGTTCTTTCCAAATATAGAACTTCCACAAGTTTGGAGTTTTTACGAGAATCGAAGGGTGTGCGTGTAGATGTTCTTCTGCTTTCAGTTATATCCACACCCACAGAACCTAAGTAAAATTAGCATCATATTCGATATATTTTGTCCTGATTCACTTTTCACTGGGGTTAGGACTCTAGCAGAGGCCGAAAAAGAACCGAACCGAAGCGAACTCGAACCACTTCTTAAAAACGACGTCGCACTAAATCAAATCTTATTAGTTTTTGAAAAGCGAATGGATATAGATAAGCACATAAGAAAAATGATTGCTTGAGCTATAATATTTTTTGTGAAATTTTGGTGCTGCTGGTGATTAACATACGACGTTTGAACTATCGTTATACATCAGGAACTAGAAGCGATCAATCTACATTTACAAAAATTTATTAAAATCAGAAATAAACTGTTAAAGAATTAAATTTAAAATAATTTTGCATAAGAATTTCAATTTATTTTAAATTTAAATCAAATTTGCATAAATTAAAAAAGAAATTAAATAGATATAAATTGTATATAAATATGTTTAAAGTAATTTAAGTTCCGTTTGAACTAATTTAAGTTAAATAAAAATTTGTTTTTGTTGTCTATAGGAATAAAAGAAACCTTGTATTTCTCAAGTCTGCTATCAAGGATATATTTATGAGAGTTTTTTAGCATCATTAGAACATAATAGAGGCTAAAGACGGAGTAATGATCGGATTTTAACGTACAATCCCAGTTTCTCTCCTAATTTCTGATCTATTTATTTTTTTGAGTCATGAATTTTAATAATCGGCTTGATAAATTTAGATATAGAAAAATTTACAAATCAAGAAATAAATACTAAAAAGTTTAAATTTAAAATAAATTTAAATTAGCAAGAATTTAAGTTCAGAATAAATGAAGAGGAAAATGAGCCAAATCGAACCCAAGCTAGTGAAACTCGATTCGATTCAATGTTTGGTCTCTAATCAGTTGAGTTAGATATAGAATTTGATTCTGGATCGAATGGTGCTAAATATTAAAACTTATCAGCCACAAGTCTCATGTTCTAGTAAGTGGAAATATAAGAGCAAAGTTTAGAAAGAACTGTCTGGATTACTGTTTGCCATCATCACACTACTTTTATTCGTACTTAGTCATCTATTGTCACTAGAAGACATTAGCTATAAGTTGGACTTTGACTTTCTCGTAAAATTGAAATACCATAACAGCATAAAAATTGCAGCTCAATTGCACAATAACCGAAATGTTTAGTTATGCTTGATACATACTTTACATTTTAATTTATATATACATTGTGCTGAAAGTTTTTTTATTTTGGACAATATTTTGGTATAGGCAATTTCGGTATCCATTTGTTTCCAAAGAATGGTGGAACATGACGAATAAAAAATTCTTGTTTTGTTATATATGGCCCCATTGCTAAAGGTGCAGTTACAAGAAGAAATATATGAGTCATCAACCAGCCCAAATATGAAGGTACGTGAATTGGTAAATGAACTTCTACACAACAGGCAATGCCATGTAAAAGGAAAAAAACAAATGTGGGTACAATATATCGAGTATCATTGAAAGCTATAAGAACTAGATGAACATGAAGAAGACCACTGAGAATAAATACTATCAATGCTGCGATGTTCGATGAAGATAAATACAAACGAATTGGCTGGAAGACAGATTCTCGAAAAACACTGCTGACAAGTTGATTATATCGTCGACCCCAAAATTCACGCAATGATTTAGATATAAATGGAAAATTAGTAAATGATTGAAGTGTATATCGATCTCGAGTGATGAGTCGAACGAGAGCAATTTGAATATCAGACATATATGAAACTGTTAGTACTGATATGTAGTGCATTATTATTCTTTGATAACTATCACTTGGTTTACATGTCAATATCCATCGATACAACCAATGATTTATTGTTACTTTCACGCTAGCCAAAATAATATCAAAAATGATCGGCCACTGATGTTGTGTTGATTGACATGGTACGATCGGAATAAAAATTAGTAAAAACTTGAAGACGAATGAGCTAAATGTTGAAACTTTGCTAGGTGAGAAGACAACCAAGTCTATGAAACGAAACGATAGTAACCAAGAGAATGTAACGATCACTGTGGCAGTGACGTCAAGTTCAGGAAGATTGTGAGTTCCGAAATAAGTCAATAATATACACGGCAAAACAGTTAAGAAACCTCGTAAAAGACTATGATGAATAGAACGAATGAGATAGAAACTTGTAATAAGATACGTTATCCATCCAATGACTACGATTAATAGAACTGTTGTTTCCATATATTCTTTTTCTTTGTCAACGGAAGTTCGAGGTATTGTATACGATGTAATAACAAAGACGTATGATAATGATATATCACTAAATACAAGAAAAGATCTAGATAGAAAAGATTTTCTTTTTTTACATGACAAGTTATAGTTTGTTTTTTTTTCAACTTAGAACTCCATCTCTCTTATTGATAGAAAAGAGCGAAAGAGAGAAAAATAATGTCATAATAATGATAGTCAGAGAGTACCAAACATGATTCGATCTATCCACTTCATCTTCAAAATAAAAAAAAAATCTATTCAAGTGATATAGGACAGGTATATGAGATGTCATTATTTTTCTCTTGGTAATCATTAGGTAGAGTCAATATTGACACTTCGTTAGAAGCAAAAAATTGTTTCGACGATATAGTACGAAATTATTTTTTTCAAAAGACATTTTTCTGTTGTTGTTATGGTAAAAGTAAACTTTCGATGAATCAGCTAATAGAAATAGAAGGAAAATAAGAAGTAGATATGGCACAATTCATTATCTATTATCAGCCGACCTCACAGCTGTAATGCATAACATCAGTTATTCGCAAAGATTGGCGGCTAACTTTTTATGCCGCATTCATTTTAGCTATGTCGGAATGAAAAACAAAAAAGACTAAATTCTCAGAAAAACTTACGTTTTAAAGAGAAATTCGTAAACAAAGGAAACATTATCTGAAGGACTGAAAACCGAATGTTTCGATCTAGTCATAAAATGATATCGTTGCATTAAGACGAGTTCTTTCTAACTTTTCGTCCTCGAAATCATCACGCCAAAAAAGTATATAACAAAAATTCGCGACTAACTACATAAATTGCTGTGTTTCACATCACATACGTAAAAGGGCCATATATTGCATTTATAAAAAATAATTAATAAATAAAAATTTTATTATTTTCATAAACATACCGTAGTCTTCTTTTACATATTCGTAATAAATGAGAAAAAGGAAAAAAAAATTTATTATTTTCTAAAGATGAGTACTGTTGATATTCTTTTTGCTTCACGCATAGCACAAGTCAAATTAGACAGCTAGCCATAAGGGCTGTGATTCGCATCGCAAAAAAACATCTTCGTTATGTCAGCGAGCGCGACATGCAGATATAATTCTTGTTGATGAGAGACAGAAAAATCTGCGGCGAAAACATGCAGAACAAAAAATATAGTTTCCATCTTCCTTCTTGTTGCTTGTTGAGAAGAGAGGAAAATAAAAAAAAAGTAGAGCAGAGGTTCCAAGATATCTATTGATAAAAAAAACATTTACATTGACTATAGGCCTCTTTATTATGCCGACTATGAAGGAATCCATCGCAGTAGAGAGTGTTCCTTGAACAACTTGAAAAATTTTGATTTTTTTTCGCCTTGTATAACGATATTGATAGAGCAAAAGCGACATCTAGCACATGATAATTGCGTATTGAAAACGACCCGACGCTTTCGTTTCAGAGTTCAAAGATAAATATGAGTTACCTTCACTAGCAATAAACTATAATCATGGAGAGACTCATTTGTAAGAGAAATGAATTCAAGACTTACGATATTTCCAGTTATGTACAAGCATTCTGACATAAACTAGAATGAAAAGAATCTTTAGGCAATGAATGCAAAAGAAAACTAAGAGATGTAACGTAATTCTCACAATTTCGAAACAAGAACAGTTCATTGCCCTTATATTCAACCTACCTTGTTCCTTGAGACCCAATCAATATAACAAATTCAGTTGTAGTACGAATATCTATTAATTCATATGAATATTTAAAAATAATTGAATGCCACTTGAACAACGCTGATAGAAACACATATTATTCACTCTAATGTTTCGAATATGAGACAATATGGTATGAGTTTTTGTTTAGATGAGAAAACGTAAATTAAACAACACCCCCATCCATACAAACACATCCGACATTCATACAAAAATTTCATGTTTTTAGTTATTTTACAAATGTTAAAATCATTCAATGAGTTTTGATATTTTGGCTTAATTTTCATGTCATGACTTCGGTTATTTCAAAAAAAAGAATGAGACTAATCGTAATATTTTCATATCATTAGCATTGTTTTCTTAACGTGATATTTGTTATTCTGAAGCAATCAGATTAATTCTATCAGTTTCATGATTTTTGCATTGCTCTCATTGCATGACTTCGACTATTTGGACAAACTAAAATTATTAAATTACTTCCATAACTTTTGTATTATTTTCGCTTCATAATTTCGATTCGTTCTCGAAAAAATGATCATTAAATTAATTTCATTAGTGTTACACTTTTGGACATCTAATATCAATTGTTCTGAAAAAGATCCTTTTCAAAGAAAAATGACTTTAATCAATGATTTTAATGAGGAATGTATCATGTGTGACGGGTTTTCTTGAAAATCAATAATGAAAATGATTATTTCAAATTGAACCTACAAATCTGTCCATATATAGATATATCAGTTTCTTAAGACATGGAAGGTGTTAGGATAGAAACCATGTTACGCCCTACTATTTCTAAAGTTGGTGAAGTATTTTTAATATTCTATCTATGTATGTGACGATAGAGCAAAATGAACTTTGGAAAAGTTCACGATGTAACCATTTGAAGGATGACTAGCCCAGAGTTGTACAAAAATGTTTGGGTAGAAATAACCTCCTAAGTGGATAGCTAATTACATCAGTTGAAATAAAAGTTAGTTCTTCATTCTATTATTTTTATAACGAGATTTTCATATACTATTAATGATTTTCATGGAAAATTAACGATTTTCATGCGGTAAAATTTTGACTTTCACCGATGATTTCAAAAGGCATAAAAAATGCTGCCAGTTTCATCATCAAAAATGTCATTTTGTGTCGTCCTTTTTCTGTCGAAAACTTTCCATTAAATTAACATTTACGCTGTGATCAATTATTTTTGTTTCTGATCTGTCTTCGTTATCTCTAGAACAGCTACTCATAATTCAGTAGAAGATTTTTTTTTCTTATGCTTATTGCTACTTGTAGCTCAATCAAGCAAAACACTTGAAAGGTAAATGGTGATATATCGTGAATTAAACAATTAGTTTGTTTTGTCGCCATTCACTAACATATATGCTATGTTTATTTGTGCATTTCTTTCTCTACCGATGTTTTTTTCTGTTAAGAATGCTGTAAAGCATTGAAGTAGCGACACTGTGCGTCTTCCTCACTCTTTAGAAAAAGTTTCATGTACGTTTTGTTTCTTTTCATTTCTTTCTACAAATAACTGCAAGAAGATAGAAAGACGATTGACATATTGAATAATATTGCTTTTTCTGCAGTTCTCACACGATAGATATTGAAATTTGATATTAGATGAGAGCAGAAACTTCATTATCAAGAAAGTGTAGTAGAGGTTTTTTCGATTCATAAAACAAAAAAAAACAATGAAGAAGTCTAGTTAAGAAATATAGATTTTTTATACGGTTCTTCAATGGATGGTCACATACTACTGTATGATCAATGAAGGCATACAAATCTAATTGAATAGCATCTCCTACTGTGAGTACATCTCAGGGTTGAACACCTCTCTATTTAGATTAATCGTACTCAAATCTAGTGGTTTTTACTATAAATAAACGTCTCCAGGATACAAGAGAGTGGGGGTAGGGGTGAATGTCTCGGTGTGTGACGAATTTTCTCTTTCATTCACACTCACACCCCAACTAGACTTTTGTGCTTCTTTTGTTTTTGAATATAGTTTCTTATATTTGCATCCAAAATGGAGTGTGGCTGATGCAATAATGACAGCACAGGTGAACACTTTGGTATTTGATTATTCAACGGTTCTATTAGGTTATTACTGTGTACATGATATCAATGAATTGATTGATGATGCAGAAAACGAGGACGAATGTTTTTCCATTACTGAATTAAGTCATTTTTTTTACTTCGATCTGTTTTTATTATTCGTTATTCCTATCAATTCTTCACTTGCAACCGCAGCATGTATAGCATTCGGCTACATAATTATTGTACAACTTGGTGATCTATGTACAATTTCCATATTCCGCTATGTAGATTTTATAGTTTTTTCAGCTTTGCCTTTTTCAACGATTGCTGCAATTGTTTACGCTATTGCCGTTGATTTCATCATTCAATATTTACCTTTTGACTGTGAAGATTGATGGCAGGATGTGAGTATAGAATAAGTGCAGAATGATACCAAGACCTGCTTAAACACTTTTCAAGTTCAAGTCTAACTTTTGATTACTGCAAAAGGTTTGATCACCTGTTTTTTGTTTATTTATTTGAATTTTTGAAAAGAGGTCTTTCTTTTTCAATTCTGTAATTTTGTAAAGGATACTTGCCTCTTTAAAAGGAGAGAAGTATTTAGAGATACTGTAGAAAAATATTTACAATAATTGAAAACTAAATCCATATGTTTGACAAATCGATAACTAGTGTATAAGCATCAGAGAAAATAGTGCTTGAACCAAACAAACTAAAAATACCATGGAAAAATTCGAACTTTTACAGGTCATTATGGAGGCAAATCAT